TGACGAGCAGGATGATATATATCGTCCCGAGGCAATGTCGCGGTCGCCGCGGCGACGCTTGCCACGCAGTGTATATCTCGGAGGTCACACGCATGCACCGGTAGTGTAGTAGATAGTACCGGATCTACAATAGGTTGTGCCGCCGTCGAGCGCAAGCAAGAGCGACTCGGACTGCAGTCTTCAACTATCGTGTCGTATACAAACACCAAGTGTAGCATATCCACTTGCGATCACGGAGCATTTTTTTTTTCGCTGGTCGATGTTTCGGCTCATCCTCGACGCGCTCGGGCTCTACGCCGCGTGGCACCCGTCCAACGGCGACAGCAGCAGCGACATTGGCACGCGCACGTACGACGTCCCGGCGCCGCCGCCGCCCTTCCCGAGCGAAGTGCACGCCACCTTTCTTGAGGTCTTCTTGAGCGTCTCGGCAGGTCGTGTTGATGCGCAGCACTAGACGTTTGACGGCAGCGACGTGCCCGACTCGAGAGGCGCGTGGTTCTACCAGTACCACGCGGCGAGCGGCGACACGAACTGGCGCGTCGAGCATGATGCGGTGCGCGGATCCAGCGCGACGAAATCAGATCGACTAAGATCGCGTACGTATTTGTGTAGCCGCAGGCCGACCCGTTCTGCCGCTGTGCGCAGCCAAACACAACGGACGCGTGTACGCTCTACTACACGCAAGAGAGCTTGTTCGTGCACTTTCCGAGTCAAGTCGGCGCGTGCTGCCGCCTCTGTGACGCGAAGACGCCAGGCTGCGGCATGCTTTCGCCGACGTGGCTCTCGGCGTCGGCGACACTGACCGGCGTCGACGAGCTCGACGGCCGTCTCTGCTACCAGTTTTGCACTCCTCCGTACGTCCCCGATGCTTTGCATGTATTTCAACGCAGCAATGACAGGACGGGGACCGTGACCGAGTGCATGAGCTACGACGACTACGGTCTTCCGTGCCGCTTCACCGAAACGACGTCTGGTAATGTGCACAACTTGACGTTCACGTCGTGGACCGTCACGAAGCAGCCGCCATCGACGTTTGCGCTGCCGTCGCTCTCCTGCGCGACGAGCTGCGCGTCCCTCTTCCCCACATGCGATGTCTAACTCGATGCTATCATACTACTACTGTAGTACACCAATGCAACTTCTCTATCTTGAACGCTATATGGCTACACGGTGGCAGAGGCGGCTGCTACCGTGGTGGTGGCACTGGATGCCGTCTTGGCGTGGCGCTTGGACAAAGCCATGGCGACGACGGTACCGACGACGATTGCGAGCCCGAGGCCGACACCAAAGCCGATTAAGAACCCAGGTGGGAGCGCCTGCCACGTCGACGCCGACTCGGCGGCCACCGAGGCCACAATGATGGGCGAGACGCGGCCGTCTCCGTACACAGCGGCGGCCGCGGCTTCTTGCGCGGCGACGCCGGCCGGTGGCGCATACCGTTGCGGGTACGTCGCGAAGTCGGTGGTCGCGAGCCACGCCTCGGGGTACCCGGCGACGTGCACGCTGCCCATGGTGTTGCCGACGATGATGTAGCCGTCGTTGAAGCGGCTCACGAGTTTCCACGCAAAGGCCCACCAGCGTGCGACGCCTTGCGTCATGAAATCGTTGAAGACAATGGCCGCGCAGTCGTCGGCCGCTTTCTTGCCGTCGCAGCTCGCGTCGACTTGGAGCTGGAGCACGCGCGCCACCATCTGCAGCGCGTTGCGCTCGATGACGATGCTTCGGTGGATGCGATCGTAGCGCAAATGGGCCCAGTTGGAGACAAAGTGAAAGGCCCACCACGCCGACTCCGAGTCGAACGTACCGCGCTGGCCGCGGGTAAACGCAGCGGGCAGCTCGCTTTGGCCACACGCGATCGGAAAGTAGACTGCGTTCGCGGGCTCACCGTGGGCGTACCAAGCGAGCCCGGCGACGCCGTCGCTCAGGTTGGGCAAGCGGCGCGTCTGCAGGACAAAGCTGTGGGTGGTCCGGTGCATCGAGATGGCGCGCTCCCAGTTGCCCGAGGTCAAATTGCCTTTCGCGGTCGCATAGCGCACCGGGTCGCCAAATGGACCGGCCGCGACACCTTTCGTCAAGTCGAACGGCGTGCCCTCGTAGTGGTCTTGCATGATCGCATCATGGTCTTGGGTGTGACGGGCGTATCGGGCACCACCGAGAACGGGTACGTCGGGACGCGCGCGTGGAACCCAAGCGTCGCATCGAGCTGCAAGGACGGCGCGACAAGATCGTAGATGCGCCAGAGACGCCGACCGCCGTAAAGCGGCTTGGCCGACCCCGGCGCGACGTAGCCGTACGCGGCCGTAAAGTCAAAGGCGTCACCGCGCGCCGCCCAGCCCATGTCGTAGGCCAAGTCGGCCACGTTGGAGGACGCCAAGAACCGCGTCGGGTCGGACAAGTTGAGCTCACGAATGACAAACGTGTTGGGCACTGCGACAACGTCCGTGTCCTCGACGCGCTTAGCGGCCCAGATCGCGCTGCTGTTGCCGCGACCCGTGAGCACGTGGAAGATCCAGAGCGCGCCCGACTTGTCGGCAATGCCGAGGGCTTCGCAGCTGCCGCCGTACTCGGGCACCGCAGGGTCGTTGCTGTACTCGCCATAGAAGCCATGCTCTTCGGCGAGCTTGCCCATCGTCTGGATCGCACAGACCGCCGTGTCGCAGCGCTCGAGTGCAACCTTGGAGAGCTCGTCGATGCTAAAGAGGTTGTGGCCGTACGGCAGCGACGACGGCCACCCCGCCGTCTTGCACGCGCACGTCGACTCGGAGATGCTAAGCTGGACTTCGTTCTGCATTGCATAGTCGTGGTCCCAGTACGCGTAGGTGGATGGCACTTGCGGAATGTGCCCGAGCGGCGTCGAGAGCGTCTGATTGGGCTGGACTGCGTAGCCAGGACCCCGGCTCTCGGACGTGAAGCGCGGTGTGCCATTGCGCAGCACCTCGTACACGGCCGCTGCGCCGTCGGTGGAAACGTCATGGCCGGCACACGCACGAGCCGGAGGTCGTTCGGGTTGCTGCCTGCGTCGTTCGTGTGGGCGAGGATCGTTGAGCCGTCGGCCGTGGCCTTGGCGCCGGCGCCAAGGATGGTGCAGGCGTGGGCCACGATCGGCGCGGTGACGGCGAGGAGCAGGCGCATGCCAGTGGATTGGATACTGCAAGCGAGGATCCAAAAGAAGGTTACGGCGGCAAACAACGACCGATATTTTAATGTTTCTAGACCCTTCAGATACGTACTCTATCCTTTTTATCATTTAATAGCATGATGTTTGTATGCAATAGGAGCACAAAACATATTAGTATGCCGTGGGATTGTATAATAAAAAGAATATTTCGTTCGACCAATGAAATCCATTGGAAATGCCAATACAAACCCCAAGTCTGCACCATCAACACACTATTTTGCACTATAGAAACAGTGGATGATGGATACACTGTTTGTAGGACGGACGCACCTGGATTCCTGTTGCGCCAGAAACGATCAACTTCAACCGGCGGCGATCACATTGACGAAAGGGCCTGTAAATGTACACTATGAAGTGAATAAGGAGGGAATTCGCTCACCACATACAGAGGAGGCTCGCTTGCCAACCACCCGGTGTACGTCCCAACGCAATACCCGCATGGGTCGCCTCGAGACACAACACTATTTATGGACAGTGCAGCTGAATATTTGCCAGCTGGGTTCGTACACTGTATTCTATCCTCGGTTCAACCACGACGATGTATTAATACCTATCTATGATAGAAACAGCGAGACAAGGTTGCGATTCTAGTTTAATCTTACGAGTAACATGATCTAGGTCTCAGGTCGCTGGTACAGTTTTGCGGCGTCTGCAGGCTATCCGACCCTTTAGCTACCGACTTGTGCACGTGCAGTAGCCAATCCGTAAACAAGTTGCCGTTCAATTGGCTAGAATCCGCCAATCAGAATCTGATTGCATGGGTTGAAGGATTTTGGCGCCAACCAAGAAAGCTGAAATAAGTCGTGGATAACCACAGCTAATTGCGAGTCCGAGATACGTGTCGGCGTCGTCCCGCTGCTGCGTCTCCAAGAAAGGTCAAGACGGCGGCGAGATCGACGATGCACACTCGATGGTGTTTCGGCCACAAAACGATCGCGCGCTGACACGCACAGTGCTTGTACGGCGGCATGTGCAAGAATACTTGGGGCGATTGACCGATCCAGGCCGCCACGACCGCGCCTGGAATCTCGCACGCAGGGTGCGGCAGTAGCGATATGACCTTGCTCTCAGGCCCGTCAAGCTCGGCAAATCCGACGTCTTATGCACCGGAGGCGACAAGCATTGTGATGAACGCGCGGTTCCACTCGCCAAGCGATTCAAACGAGCGTGGTTCGTGGGAGACGAAGAGAGCCCGCCCGAGCCGCTGAAATGGCTCTCTCGTCGAGAGGCTGAGCGCCTGGAAAGCCACGACAGCCGCGTCGGGTGCCGGCGGTACGAGCACCGCGGCCCTGACATGGTACAGCCGGTCGACGAGCGCATCACGGTTCCCACGCGTGATCCGCGTCGACGTGATGGTCATCGATAGCAAAGAAGCTGCGTACACCGTCGTCGTCGTGCTGCAAGCGTTGGCCGATTGCGGTATCCCGTCGTAGGCAAAGGCGAGGTGACCACCGATGTACAAGGACGGCAGCAATACGATGAGGAGGCCAAAGGAGGCTGCGTTGACACCGCTGCCGGCGCTGGGACGCAGGCGAAAGGTGTTAGCGTCGCCGACGTCGTCAATGGCCAAGTGCGCGAGCTCGGTCGCGACGTGCGTCGACAATGGCACCCAGTGCTGCGCCAGCGCCTCGTTCATGCAGTCGTACGCTGTATCAAACGCGTTCATGTAGCGTGGACCCAAGTCCATGTCGACGGACGGAACGATCTTGTCGGGGTACAGCGCGGCTCTCTGCGCAACGTCATGAGCGCAGATCGGCCAATGGAGCGGCGCATCGAGGCCTCAGGGGGCAAGTAAGCGCGCGCCGGGGGCGGAGCTGCGCCCGCGACGACAAACGTGCCGGGCACTGGAAGCTGCGCAAAGGCGGCTTCGTTGCCCGGTGTGTGAATGTAGCGCTTGCCTTTGGGCGGGCTTTCGGGCATCTGCAGCACCAGCATCGTGCTTCGTCCTCGAGCGCAGCCCGGCCAAACCGAATATATTGCGCGTTCCAATTTTGCAATTGTGCCATCTTGCAATTTTGCAATGGATTTGGATATATTGTTTACTGCGCCGCAATATGACGTGGCGGAAGCTGCAGCCATCCGAATGAGGCACGACCGGGTCGCGCCTGCTTGAGCCTGCTTGAGGTAGCCAACCCGTGTCACTGCCCGAAGAGGGAATACCAGCTACATCCATGGTGCATTTTGCCCACCCTAGGATAGACCAATGCACTCCTTTTGCCTTTAACCCTCCCAGACCTTTAACTATGGCCGAGAGCGACGCCACGAGCACGGACGACGCTTGGCTCAATGGCGGTCGCGAGCAGATCGACACAGGGCAGCATACGAGCACCGAGCGATGTCAGTGGATCAAAAGAGTACCAGTATATCCCGGTCACGCACCTTCGCTTAGGCTTGGTCTGGTCCAAAACGCAGGCTCGAATCAGAGTGTGCCAGCGGTGTCGGGTTATCCGGATAGTCGATGGCCATGTATCCGGATAGGTCGGTTGACGTGGGCATTTTTCGATATTCGGCAAGCATGATCCTCAACGAGCTCCTCTTCGGGCTGCTCTGCGTCGAGGCCGTCGTCTGCCTCTTCCTCTGCCTCCCCTTCTTCAAGCACATGACGCAGGCCACCGTGGCCTTTCTCTCGACCAACGTCTTCCCGCCCAACTCGGGCGCGGCCATGGTCGGGTACGTTGCCGCGGCTTGCTATCTCGGGCGCTGAGCTTACTCCATCGTAGGAACATTGTCTTGGCCGTCGTTGGGCTTCTCTTCCTCGGTACGAAGCCACGCCCTGCGTAGACCATGACTAATGCTGCGTGTAGCCAACGTGCAGACGTCACTCAAGTACCGCAACTCGGACGAGGTGCTCTCGGATGGGCTGCGTATCCGCCTCCTCGTGGCCCAGCGCGACATGTACATTTCGGGCTTTTGCCTCTTCCTCTTTGCGCTCCTTCGCCTTGTGTATTCGAGCATGGTGACCAACATCTCGCTCGAAAAAAGTATGAGGCCATGGAGAAGCAGGCGAAGAACGCATCGTCGGGCTACTCGAAGCTCATTGACGAACACGATACGCTCCAGAAGCAGCTGAAGAAGCTCTCGGGCTTTGAAGCCGACGGTAAGGGCCTCGAGGCGCTCCTGGCCGAGAACGCGGCGCTCGAGAAAGAGGTTAGTACCCTCAAGAAGAGCCTCGCGACGGCCGAAACCACTGTCGAGAACGTCAAGAAGCAGGCGGAGAACCAGAGCACAGCATACATGAAGCTACTCGACGACTCGGCGGCCAAAGACGCCAAGGTTGACGAGCTTAAGGCTGCGCAAACCTCGATCGCCGATCTCAAGTCGACGGTTGCCGAGCTCACAAAGGAGCGCGACTCGCTCAAGACGCAGATCCAAGACTATGACTTTATGTTTGCGGACGCCAAGAAGAAGGCCTTGTAAGCGTACTAATGCATGCAGTCCCAGCGTCTCTTTTGCCAAGTGCTGTACCACGTAAGGAGGCATTCGATGATGCAACCAAACACCAAAACACCATGGCGCCGCCACCACCCACGGCGCCACAAGCCTGCAATTCGAGCCGCCACGCTCAACGCCTGTACATCACCTTGGAGCTCTACACGAGCGTGGCGCTTCAGCAAGAACGGCCTCGGCAGCGTGGCTTCTCTTGAACCTCGCGCGCTGCCTTGTCCATGGCGCCTCTACCCGCAACGCTACGCTGCACCGCCTGGCTCTCCAAAGGCATTTCCATCACGCAGCTTCCTCGGCGTCATCTTCAGTGCCGTCGCCGGCGCATCCTTGTCCTCCGACACGTCGACCTCATGGCGATCGTCGATGGTCGGTTGACGCAAAAATGGCAGCCACGTGTCCATTGCCTCCTTTCTAGTGCGTGTGTTTTTATACGTTGCATACAAATTCTTTGATGATAATAAAACCAAAAATCCAGTTCTGAGTGTATTTGCTTGCATTTTTATTTTGACCAAATATGAAGTCGATTTGGGCGACGACGCTCCTCCTTGCGGCCGCGGCCTACGGCGCGCTGCTCCCGACGCTGAGCTTTGAGAAGCCGTTCGACGCGATCAGCGCCGACGGCGTCCGCGAGATCTCGGACGACTTTGCTTTCGGCGGCCATGCGCAGGTGAACCGCCACTTTGTGCGCTTGACGACCGACCGCCAGAGCAAGCGCGGCCATATCTGGAGCAAGAACACGATCGGGTCGGCGCAGCTCTCGAAACCCGAGTTCTCGATCATCTTGACGTTCCGCATCAGCGGCCAGGCCGAGCGCTGGTACGGCGACGGCATTGGCCTCTGGGTCACGACCGAGCCGCGCCACACGGACGGCGCCAACCACGGCTTTACCGACAAGTTTACGGGCTTTGGCATCGTCGTCGACACGTTTGTCAACACGGAGCAGCGTGGCGGCCACAAGGACGTCATGTTCCTCACGAACGACGGTACGAAGAACGTCGACGACCTCCTCCACGGCGAGAAGCGCGGCTGCGACGCCAAGGGCCTCCGCTACCACGAGCGCAACGCCAACTTTTCGCCGTCGCTGAGCATGTCCCGCATGAAGGTGCAGTTTGCCAACAACCGCGTCACGATCCAGCTCGACCCGACCGACAGCGGCGTGTGGTCGCCGCCGTGCCACACGGACATGGTCGACTTGCCGGCCAACTGGTTCACGCAGGCGACGATCGGCGTCACGGCCTCGACCGGGTCGCTCGCCGATACGCACGACATCATCGGGCTCCAGGTCTACGAGTACGTGGCGCCTTGTCGCTTCGCTGCTGACATCCGCTTGTAGTCACAACGACGACCAGGAGATTGCGGCCAAGGACGCCAAGATCTTTGAAGACCGTCTGCGTACGTTCTACTGTACCTCCTTTGTCGATGCTCATGGTGTGCATCTAGCGGCGGCGTCGACGGACGACTTGCAGGACATTACGCAGGTCAACGACGTCAAGGTCCAGCGCCTCCAGAAGCAGTACAACCGCATGATTGAAGACTTTGAGCACGAGTTTGCCGGTACGCCCACCGCTCAATGTGCCATGACGTGTGCTTATGTGTGTGGTGCGTCTAGCGTTGAAGGAAGAGACGGCCAACACGATCGCCAAGCTCCGCAAGCAGGAAGAAGACGACTCGAAGCGCATTGCCGAGCTCGAAGCGTGGGTCAACGGCCGCGTCAACGAAAAGGTTGACACGAAAGTCAAGGAGATTGAAGCGACCGTCGACAACAAGCTGGACGAGAAGCTCGCGACCGCGGGCTCGACGGGCTGGAAGACGCCGTTCTTCCTCCTCATCCTCGCGCTCGCCGGCGCTGCGGCCTTTGGCTACAAGAAGTACCAAGAGCTCCGCAAGTCGCACTTGCTGTAAACGTTGCGACGTAGAGCTAGCCTTGAATACTACTACATGACTGACCCACAGCTGTGGTTGGTGGACTCTGCTATCGTGCTGGGATTCCACGTGGCAACGCCGTTGGCTCGATGGATTTTATCTATTCCGTCTCAATAAGACTAGCATATCCCGCGCCCGTCTCCATGCCAGAGACGACCGACGCGCTCCTTGGCGAGACGTGTTTGAAAATCCGCACCTTGCGTATACAGTACCATACCTGGCCGCTCCACGGCATGTTTGGGTCCGAGGCGCGTCTGTGGACTTGAGCTTCAAACATCTGCCACGAGCGTACGCGTGTTGCACATGCCAATCGCAAGCACAAAGGAATCTCGTGCGCCCATATTGAGACAGCACTGATAAAAAAATCATCATATCGCAGGTTGCTGGCAGCTCACCATCTCCGCAGTTTGGAATTGGCTACGGACCCAAGAGCGATGCGCTGCCACCTCCTGCTCGTATGGGCCCTCGTCGCATCGCTTGCTGCCGCCGAGAGCCTCCGCGCCGACGACTGCTGCGCGACAGGCACGTGCCCCAACGAGTGCCACCAGGCGCGGCTGCAATTGAGCCCGCGATGGAGCGCCAAGCTGCGCAAGTACGTCAAGACGCCCGTGAACCGACGGTAATTGCTCGTTCAAGGAGCGCGCTAGGCTGGAATCACGCTCCTCAATAATATGTCGATACATGTATATACTGCTTCGCCACCTTCTTAGTACCCAGGAGGCGACATCGTTCTTGGAACTGACGCTGGGTGCGACGTACTCGACGGCGAGGTCGTCGACCTTGTGCTGGCCTTGATGATCAAGTACTACGCTGCACGCCTGTCGCGCTATTTGAACGTCAGCGTGCTTCTAGAGAGGCCCCGAGCGACGCCTTCTGGTGCACACGAATAAACATACTCGACGCAAGTGCCAAGGTCCTGCTACTGTACTAGTATTACCAAGATAGTATTACATATATGTAATAACACCCATGGTATTGCGATCCTAGAGGACACCTGTCGGTCGCCTGAGATTACTTTGCCGGACGCATGCTTGGCGAAGGCGGCGCGAAATCACGTGGCCCACTCGGCTGGGTCGTCGGATCAAAACACTGCAGCTGGAACGTGCAGTTTCAATCGCCCTCGAGGCGTCGTCTCCATACACAGAGGAATACTAGCGATCAAGACGAACCGAAAGACAGAAAGTGACCTTCTGAGCAGCGATACTCCCGAATGTGCCGGACAAAACGCTGGGCGGACACCAACCCGGTTCTTTCTCCCGTGTCGTGCCAGAGACGACGATCCGCGCCGTTGTGTTGTGCTTCAATGGGCTTTGTCCAAGCCACGGCAGTGTACCTCGGGTGTACAGTTCCATGACCTTGTTGTTCTCGCGGCAACCTGCAGGAATATGCGCTGTACAAATGCTTATACCGTACTATTGGCGATCGTTTGTTGGAGCTATGGGGTAGCCAAGATGGAAACGACAGTCCCGACTGCAGCCTGCTCGGTGCGATGATGTTTGTGATCGTTTTAGGGCGCTTGGAAATCTCGTTGCGATCGAGCGATTCGCGGGCCTCTTCGCGCAATGAGCGATCCAATAGAATAGTATAAGAACTGAGTTGGGTCGGACTGGCCCCAGGCAAAAATAAATGATCGACCCGAGTGACGACGACTGAGCGACCGAGCTCGATGTTGCAGTCTCGCGGGGTAGGACACCGATCAATGAGGCTGTCGGCGCGCGGCGGCACTGGGCCATTGCGCGGTACTCCAAGAGATCTCAAGGAGGAGCTGGTGCCGGACATTAACGAGCGTGTCTTGTGAAATTGACCACAATACCCAGCCATTCCGGGCAAGTCCGTCCACCCAACCTACCAAGGAGAGTACAGTACAACGGCAACCACGCCAAGCACCATGCGTACCTCATATCGGTGGATACTATAGGCATTGACCACGAAAGCCACGCTACAATGTACCGGAAATAGACTACAGCCTCATACATTGTGTCCTCAAACTCTCCTTCGCGCTGCTGAGGACTATGAGGACGCATCGAATCATGACGTGGCGCTCTGTGACAGCAGTATGCAGTTCGTTACATGTCGCACCGTAAGGAGTCAACGTGGCTGGACCTTGCACCAGTTCAGACGAAAACACATACTAATAGTACACTATTATAGTACCAGTATGTTGGTCGACCACACGCCGTGGTTGGAAAAGAGAGCTGGTGACCTCGTGTTGCTTCACGGCGTACCGCATTGTCCGGGCCGTGCCTGTTTTCACAATCACACTCCATGTTAGCGATTCGGTTCGACTCGCTTTCTGGAATAACTATAAACCGGAAAGGCAAGACGCGTATATTCCTTGCGATCACTGTTCCCGAGTTGGAACGACGTCAAAGAGATCTCTCTCGACAGGCGTGGGTTGCAGGTCCATGCAACGCAGGTCAAGCCACCTCGTTTTATGCACGTGTACAGAGTCGCCAGCAGTCTACCAGCGCACTATCCCAGCTATCCAAGAGATATCTCGTGCC